ACCATCTGGTCTGACCCTGCCGCTGTCTGATGCTGGGTAGTACAAATCCCAGCTGCTCTATACAAGAGAGAAACTCTGGGCATGCTGAGAGTGAGCGGTTCTGAGACCTCCCCTCCGCAGGTCCTGTGGTGGGATATCCGAAAGCTGAGTTCCAAAGACCCTGGGCGTCCCAGCTTACGTCTAGTCCAGGCTGGGGGTGCTGAGCGGGCTCATGCTGGGCTCCTCGGCCAGCGGGGGAGAAGTGCCCAGTGGTGGACTCCTTCGGCAGGCTTGGATGATGGGCAGGCGGATGTGGGGAGGGAACGTGCACGTTAGTTGTATTAATTTAGATGGAGTAAGTTACTGTCTGGCGTTGAGCAGCGTGAGGCCCTGGGGTTTGTACGCAAAGTAAATCACTGGCTTAGTATCAAGGTGAACACGCTCTTAGGAACCCTTTTCGCCTTTTATTAGAGACAGGGCAGAAGGGAAAACTGAAAGTCTTTGAAAAGTGAAGTGCTAAGTGAGGCTTTCTTTTTAACAGCAGCCCTTGTTCCCTTACCCTTAGCTGGAGAGAGAGAGTCTTTAAAGGAAAAAACCCGTGCCTGACAGACTCTTAATGAGGTCTACACTGGTAATTGAACGATAAAACTTTTGTCCTTCAGAGGTGCTAGACGCCCCTCCCTTCCCCACCAAGTTTTGCTGCAGCCCGTGCCGGTGTGAACCGTGCCCTGTCTGTAGGAGTGTTGTCTCCCTGGGGGATCAGTATTTTGTTGGCAAAAGAACCAAGAAACAGCAGCTACACCGCTCGATTGTTAGTGACACAGCTGTGTCGACATGGCTGTCACTAAAAGCTGTGCAGTTTAGACAACGCCATAGATCAGGGGAGGGGAACCTAAGACCTAGGGGCTGACCTGGCCCCGAGGCTCAGGGCTCCCCCCCTGCCAGCCTCCAATCCACCCTGGCACCCAGCATCCAGGCCACGCTGGCACTCCAGCCCCCCTGCCGCCTCCCCCAGGCTGGAGCACACAAAATCTATTAGCCTGGGCCCCCGTAGGCGCTAGTGTGGGAGGGGAACGTGGGAGCGTCTTTCTGCTTCTCAGTCGGGGGCCACGTCACGAGGGTTGGAGGGTTGGACCGTAGGAGCTTTCGTGGGCAAAACCCACTTCATCAAATGAGCAGAAGTTTCAAAAGATAATAGAAGGTTTTTTAATCAGCAAACTCTGCCTGTTGTTTAGGGCTTACCCAGTCTATGCAGCTGGGGATCTCCTGCTTATACCTAGAAAACCATGCCTCCCTTCTCTTCACCCACGCTTTTGGTTGCAAAGCTCAGCTGATGGGTGGAGTCCGAGGCATGGCTTATCTGCATGGAGAGGAGACAGAATAACCGCAAACCGAAATATGGAATGTCCCTACTTATTGACAGTACATGGGGAAATTCCAGTTGCATCCCACAATAGTGCATCAGGTATTGGCAGACTTTTCCTTTCGGGAAGGATGTTGAAGACCAACCCTTCACGCTAGTTAATGTCTCTCCCCTGTCTGGTGAGTTAGTCACAGCGGATCATAGTGCAGCGGCAAGTTGGGATGCAGATGCTGTAAGTGGGATTTATGCCAACTACAACTCACAAGCATTCAATAAAGTCTAAACACTAAAGCAGTCTGAGAACCCTGCTACCTATTTTAGCAGCACCAACCCCAGTTGAGCCCGACAGATACTTGCTATGTATTTGTCAGTGTTCCACTGAGACATGGGGACCTTGCCATGAGCCGGCACCTGGCCTGCCAGCATTACAGAGGGTAGATGTGTGGGCTCATCTCATATGGTCCTGACGTGTAGGGTGCAGCAGGCAAACCAGGTTCTCTACACGCTGGTTTGCATGTCTCAAACGTGCGGATTGCCTGAGCTCGCTTCCTCACCCTTCACACCTGCCTGCACACAGAGTAACTGCGACAGCTTCCAAGGGTCACTCTGGATGTACAGCCGTGGGGCTGAGAGCAGGCTGTAGGTTGTGCACAATTTTAAATGCTCGGACGTCCTGCATGGAGCCAGCACTGAACAAGCCAGGAATGTATTTATTTTCTTCTGATCTCGGCATACAAGTAACAGTCTCTGTTCGAAGACTGGTAATGACGTGAGACTGTTTGTTGCTAAAGCTGAGTATGCGCGGCATACACAGGGCGCTCTCCCCGGCAGCCTGCTGGGTTCTACATTAGTGAGTGTCAATTACCCGGTGTTGAGTTGTAACTTCCTTTCCCTGCCGCTGCAGTTGGTGGCTGCTGAGACAGGAGAAATCAGGTGTAGACTCTGAGGGCTCTCCAATCTCTAGCGCCAGCAGGGGCCTCACCGGGATGAGCATCTTTATCTCGGCATGCGTGGCTGGGGATGCAGGGCTGCCTGGAGCCGGTGGGGGGCTGTGGTTGATAAGTATCCTGCGCTGTGGGCACAGATTTTGGGATGTTTACAAAGGCATGAGGGCAGCAGTGGCTGAGAGCCAGGGGGCCGCTTTGACACTGGCTCTGTGGAGCAAAGCTCAGCCCCACGGAAGTGTCTTTAGTTTATGTCCTGAAGACAAAGGAGCCGAGCTGAATATGGAATGTAAGTCCTGTTGGGTGAGGCTCCCTCTCTCCAGCAGGCATCAGGAAATCGTAGCCTAAGCTTATGTGCACGGTACAGGAGCCATCCACGAGGATAAAGTTTATCAACCAGAAAATAAATATCTTTTTCTCTAGACCCTTTTGTCTGAGCAGCGCAAAGCCCTTTACAAAGACGAACGGTTGTGTCCATGTTTTAAAGAGGCGGTCCTTAAAACCGTAAAAACGTCCTGCCTGTCAGGGCGGCGAAACACAGGAATAAGTTGCCTGGGGAGGTTGTGGAATCTCCGTCACTGGAGCTGTTTCAGAGCAGGTTGGACAGACACCTGTCCGGGATGATCTAGACGAAGCTTGGTCCTGCCGGGAGGGGAGGGGGCTGGACTTGATGATTTCACAAGGTCCCGTCCAGTTCTATGATTCTAAGCGAAGGCAAAAAAATAACCAGTGTCTGCCTGGGGAAATGCCACCTTCCAAGCAGTCACTTGCTCCACAGCGGCTTCCACCCACCTTTCGCCAGCTTCGGGAAGCCGGAGTTGGGCTTGTCCCTAGAACAGTGGATCTTGCCAACAGCAAGATTGCCTGAGCTCGACCTATTTTAGCAGCACCAACCCCAGTTGAGCCCGACAGATACTTGCTATGTATTTGTCAGTGTACTCTGGATGTACAGCCATGGGGCTGAGAGCAGGCTGTATCCCTCTAGTTCAGGGGTTCCCAACCTGGGCTACGCATACCCCCAGGGGGTACAAGAAGCTTGTCAAGGGGGTACGGGGAATATGTGGTAAATAACTAGATTATCCTAATTGAAATATTCCAAAAGTAGTCGTGTTAGTGAAAAGAGTTGTGGATTCTAGAGTTGATTTCCTTTCATATTGAATAGGGGGTACGGGAAGGTTTACTAAAAGCCAAGAGACTGAAAAAGGTTGGGAACCCCTGCTCTAGTTAATAGTACACCTGCCAGTCTCCAGCGCCGGTTCAGTTCTCCTCTCGATGCACGTTGGGGGGGAAGCTTGCCTGCGTAACTTGGATCCAAGTTCACCCTCACCCTCCACGCGTCTGGTCCCTCTCCCCTCGCTGGGAGAGCATTCCCACACCCAGTGACCGTGCGTTCCACTGCGCTTCCACCCACAGCCGACCAAGTTCATGGTGGGGACGGAACAAGGCATGGTGATCACCTGTAACCGCAAGGCCAAGACGCCCGCCGAAAAGATAGTTGGCACGTACAGTGGGCACCATGGCCCCATCTACGCTCTGGCTCGGAACCCTTTTTTCCCCAAGAACTTCCTGACCGTCGGGGATTGGACGGCTCGGATCTGGTCTGAGGACAGCAAGGAATCATCCATCATGTGGACCAAGTAGGCGATGGGTTTTATTTTGCACTTGCTGTTTCTGCCCCAGATAGGGACGGGAAGGGGTTTCGGAAGCGTCTCCATGACACAGGCCCACAAGTCTCTTCATGTTAACAGCATTTCAGTGCCTGGATCACTGGGGACTTTGGAAATCCCCCCCCGCCCCCAGTCCCTGTGAGTAAGGAATCATCCATCATGTGGACCAAGTAGGCGATGGGTTTTATTTTGCACTTGCTGTTTCTGCCCCAGATAGGGACGGGAAGGGGTTTCGGAAGCGTCTCCATGACACAGGCCCACAAGTCTCTTCATGTTAACAGCATTTCAGTGCCTGGATCACTGGGGACTTTGGAAATCCCCCCCCGCCCCCAGTCCCTGTGAGTGGTGGTAGGATATTGGCTCTTTGTCCAGCTGTCGGTCCCCGCCCCCGTCCCCGTGCGAGACCTGCCCGGGGCGTGAGCGCGACACGCACGCCGGGCAAGGGGCAGCGGCAGGCGGTGCGGCGCCCGCGCG